ATTTATTAATATATTAATATATTAAATATATTAAATGAGACATCAATTCATTGTTATTTTATATCTTTGTTGTAAGTCTTTGATGAATTATGAATTTTTTTTTGTTTCTATTCAAAAAATATATGTATGCTAACATTGCCTTGTAAAAAAATTGAGATATTCTGTATATAGTGTTTACATTGAATAAAATTGATTCGAAAGTTGAAGATATTTTTATATCGAACAAAAAACATTAATATGAATGTAATTATAATGTTTAATTATATAATATTATATTTCTTTCATACAACAAATTATTCTATTAAAGAAAAAAAGTATAATTTTAAAAAATATATATAGAATTGAAATCTCTAAAAATTTGGCATCTATAAAAAATTATTCTTAACAATCCTTTAGTTCTAACAATAAATAACAAAGATATTTAAAATTATGGAAACATTTTGCAAATATTTGTTCGTACTTCTTTATAATAAATGTTTTCTGTATATAAAAATTTTCTGTATATCTATTTTTGTTTATTAAAAATTTTTGCATTAAAATTATTTAATAGATTTTAATACAAAAACAAACAAATAATTTATAGTTGAAATCAAGGATTAAGAAATAAAATAAATCGAGATACATGAAAAATTTTATTAAAAAAAAAATTGATCAGAAATGCTTTGAAATGGACAATCACTATTGATACTTTCTTTATTTCCGCAATAACTGCACAGAAAATATTTAATAGTATAAACTACATTAGCATTGATAAGAATGTTTATCAAAAATCAAAATTTTAAAAATGATTTTTATAACATGCGATTTCAAGAAAATCAAAGTAAATTAAAAATGTAAATACTGTATTATTCTCAATACTATTGATAATATTATTAATATTATTGATTGTATGTAAATTTCTATATAATATTAGAAAAATATACAAAATAAATAATTCTTCAATCAATTTATTAGATATTTAAATATTAATATTTTAATATTTATTTGATTTATTTTATTTGATTTAATTATGGTCTTTATAAAAAATTGTTATAAAATGTTTTATTAATTTTAAAAGATATAAATATTTGTATTTTAAAATTAATTAAAAATAATATAGCGAAAAAATAATTAATAATTATATAATTAAATATTTGTGCATCTATATTCAATAAGGAAATTCCAACTGTTATTTTAGTTTAACTTATCTCAATTTTTATTAGATAGCTATGATTCATTCTACGTATAAACAGAACCCCAATCCAAAAAAATAAAATAAATAGCAAGAAGATAGTGTAAAAATGATTTAAGAATTTTTTTATTTTTTTCAGCAAAAAATAAACGAATTTAAAATGAATCAGAGAAATGTTATAATTATACATTTTTATAAATCATCTGAAATTGATTAAATAAATTTATCACGATTTTCTTCATTACTGTTAGAACTAAAATATAACCTCTCATTTCTAAATTCATATCTTATTCTTTCTTTTTCACTTTGATTTTTTTATTTGTCAATTTTCAATTTCGTTATAGGAAATAAAACGTTTCGAAAGAACCAATATAAAATCAAATCTCGACAAGGTTTATATGATCATAGTTCTTCGAATAAGTTATTAGTAATCCTTAGGAGTTTCATTGCGGTTATGATAAAAACTGAGTTCTTCCCACTCGCAAAGAGACGTAATTGAAAGAAAAAGAAAAAAGACATACGAGAGAGAAAAAAAGAGAAAGGTGCATCGTAAAGTAAAATAAAGTCCATGGTAGTACCAACATGTTTACACACCACGATGTCGAGACATCGTGGCGTACTATAAATAAACGAATACATAGGCGTCGCCAATGTGAGTTTTTTCAAATAAATATTGTATAAATAAACTTTTCATATCGTATGAAAGATATACACATTTTTCAATTTGGGAATAAATATTTTTCTTCTTACATATTCGTTACTCGTTCAATGGTTGAAAGATACAATTTTTATGCTATTGCAAATTTATATATCTTAATGACACACGTAGAACAAGTATTATATATATATACATACATAAATGTAACACAACATTCTAGGAAAATTTGATATGCATATAAAACACGTTATTGCAGAGTATCATTTTCTTTTTTCTTACACGTTTTATCTAAATTATGCGAGGAACAACGTGATGCTATTAATAACGCAGTTAGAGAGAAAAAAAATGAAATCTTTGTAAGATCTTTAAATCTCAATGTCATCGTCGGCTGCAACATCACTGAGACATTCATCTCCAGCGACAAATTTGTTTCCGAATTTTTTTTCGATTATGTTTCATTTGTTTTACCTACCGAATCATTATTTGTTTTTAATAAATTAAAAAAAAAATTCAGAAACAAATTAAAATTCAATAGTAATTTATATTTTGTGAAAATTAGATAACTTGCAGATCTGATCTTATATCAAATCATAGGCTATTATTTGACATAATTATTAATATGAAGAAATTTTTTCATAATATATATTTTATAATTTAAAAAACAAATAACTAGATTTTGAGATACTAAGAAAATTAAAATGTTTCATTAAATAGATTAATTATATATATGTTATTTTATCAAATAAATAAATTATAAATTAATTATATTATGAATCAAAATATTAAACTATTAAATGAAATTTTGTTTGCAATCATAACATATTCACTTGCAATGATATTTTCATTATTTTTTTTTTTATTAATGAAAAGTTTACTGAAAATGTTAATATGGATATGTATTGTTGGATATGTATTTCATTAAATTTTAATTACTATTTTTTATGTATTCCTATTTTTATAAAATTATTTTACAACTAATTGGATACAAAATCTTTTAATCTTAAGAAAAATTAATCAAATCACGTCTTATTCCTTTAATATAAATATCTTACTTTTTTTTTTTTAATAATATTTTTATATATTTAAGCATTATATTTATAAACATAAATTATAACATCTATTTGTCCAAATTTTTATTAAAAAATGATTAAAATTTTTTTTTTATTATTAAATTATTAAAAATCTTTTAAATATAAATTTAATATCTCTTTTTGTTTAAAATTAAATTTACTTTACGATTAAAATTTTGAATAAAATATTAAGACGGGATTTCCTATGAGTATTATACGTACTGAATATCATACATACATTACGCCATATGTCTATTATTACGCCATATGTCTACTATTTCAATTATATATACATATACATATATATTAAAAATTCTTCTCTTTCACAATGCAAAAATTTTTTTCTTTTCTTTCAACAAAATATTATAATGTACGATATTATATAATATACATATAATTAATTTTCGAAATAATATTTTTATATATCCTAATTTTTTTATTATTCGTAATGAAATTTGATCTAATATTCATATGCAAGAGAACAATTCATATGTAATCGAAAACAACAAATTGATTCAATAGATTGATCTTGTTAGATATATACAAAATAAAAAAAAAATCACTCAGGTGTCAAATTAACTTCGGTTTTTGACTTCGTCTCAAATTCTTTGAATCTTGAAGACCGCCGCCAATGGAGTGTATCCGCAATTATTGCGTCAGCTTGCGTGAAACGAGACGCCAGTGATTGGCCAGTTTCAAAGAGCGGGAAATCCCCGTTGAAACCTGCTCTTCCGCGCTATCCGTTCCTGTGGTACTCCCGCTGACGTCTTTACCATCACCACATCGCGACCTAGCGACGCCAATCTCTTCGTCAGAAATTGAGAGACACTTCGGCGACGATCAGTATCGCGTTGTGCGACATCACCGTAAGATCACGTTGTGGTGTTTTTGATCGTTGTGTATTTGTTCTCTGTTTTCGAGTGATGCGATTTATTCACAACGTGCTATGACATACATTTATTGTTTAGTTTTGCGTAAAACGCAATAATTTATCATAGAAAATATATCATTGGAAAATAAACTTTAAAGTTTATAATTTGGTTTGACAATCAACTAATCTCGAATATGGATCTGTTCGATAATTATAATAAAACATTGGAGGAGGTAAGTTATATTATAGTGATAAAGAGATTTTGAATAATTTAAATCGTTTCGATAGAATATTTTTGCTTATTCGATATAATTCTGATTTATCTATGTTTTCTGCATTTTCTATTAAAAAAGAAGCACACGAGTTTCATGTGTTATCAATAAAAAAGTTTTTCATTGCTATGCATACGACTTTGGTATTCTTTAATAAACTTTTTAAATTATATATTTTTATATGTATTTTTATTTGATATTTGCATAAAAGAAGCGCACAATTATTAGATATTTTATAAAATTCTTTAAATTGATTCATAAATTTATACTTATAAAAGATAGCTTCTTAAATATTTTGAAATTGAAATAAAAAATTAAAGAATTATAATGTTAATTTTCGATACTTAATTAAATATAATATTAGATTTTACGGTCTAAAATAAGACAAATATTAAGACAATAATAAAATATTAGAATTCTAAGGAAATCAAATTTAAAAATTTATTAAATAATATATGACCGATTTTCAACTGAATAGTTTTAATACTAATAGATATGATATTTTATGAAAATATGAAAATAAGTATAAAATAATATTTTCTTGTTAAGACTTTATTTTTAAGAATATTCTATTAGAACATGTTTAGTATATAATTAATCACTTAATGAATTTTCAAATTCGATTTCCTCGAAAATGATATCTTAAAAATACAAAGAAATTTTATTTTACAATTTTCATAAAATAATTTATCATTATATAAGAAATTAGCTAAATAAATCTATATTTGACTAATTTTCAAATGATATTTTTTTTTCGAAAACGATGCATCAAATATAATTTTATTATTGTTGATTTTCGTCTTATTTTAAGCCATAGAACGTCCCTGACTCCATTTGTACCATGAATTACGAGACATTTTAAATACACGTGTATATACGTATACGTGTATAAATATTTATATATTTAACGTATTAAACAAAAAGAATGCTAAAGGAATTTAAAATGCAAAAAATGTTTAGATATACGTTAAATGATTAATGATTTTTAAATAATTTTTTTTATTTTTTTTTTTTTTAAGAATTCTATACAAAAAATAAAACTTGAGTGTCTATATTCAATAAGTATTCACACTTTGGTACGAAATAAACAGATTGTAGATTTAACGAAATGATTTGTGAAAGCAATAAAATGTCGATTTTACGAAATAATATTTCTGACGATATCGTATCAGTTTTTATTGACACAGAAAATAGTTGCATAAACATTGATATAATTAATTACAATTCATGATTGAACAAGACGATCGATATAAAATTTTTGAAACAATCTTTCAAAAAAATAATAAACAGTCTAAAATTTTAAGTAATATGTGCAACAATATTTTTTTTTGAATCGAATATTCAAGAAATAGAAAAAAGTATGATAAAGATATGTCATGGGAAAAAATTTATAAATATATAATATAATATAATATCTGTAAATAAAATACAATTATCATTTATATTGATATTAAATTATGATAAATTATTGATTTAATTGTGATTGGACTACACTATTGTACATAATTTACAATATTAATTTAAAATATTATTTATAATAAAAAATTATCATTTATCATATGCTTGATTATAATATATGTTCAAAATACATAGTATTTAAAAAAAGAATAATGAATAATTTGAAACAATGGCCTGTGATTACTTATTATAAATTATTAATATCCATTCAACACAGATATTGCATTAAGGATCAAGATATAAATATAAAATATGTATTTTCATTGAGCATGCATATAAGCCAGTCTGAGAAAACGAGATTGTTGTGATCTCGTTTTTTTTTTAGTCTTTGATAAAAAAAGATGAGACGCTTAAAGACACCAACAAGGTCATTAACGCAGAAACTCGATTTCATTTCGGATTTACTTGTCATGTAATACGTTATATTTGCAGGTATACCCTTCGCTTTTTTATCCAAACGAAGACGATGATCATTCTGTACTGGATATGGACACTCTGGTCACATTAAAAACTAATGCTACACGTAGTTATGAACCTGTCCGAAAAAAATTTTATTTTGGTAATTGATAAAAAGAATTATTTTGTTTGACCAGTATTGTATATTTCCAATATACAATAGTTTGTTATAATGCTATTTAATGTGATTCTCTTTTATTGTTATAAGAGATTATATATTTCAATACGTGTATTCTTTATCTTTAACCTTATGTTTTTGTTTTGTTATATGATCTAGGTGATGAAAATAATGAGATCGATGGTACCGGCTGGTTATACAAACCTACTAAAAACTGGTGTCAAGAGGAAACAATAAATTGGTTGATGACTGCAGCATCTACAATTGGACAACCATATAGTCTAATTCAACATAGTCTTGCGGTACCAGGAAACGAATTGATCACCTTCACTAAAGACGATTTTAAGGCTCACGATCCCACATACGGAGATAAGCTCTATGACTTACTCCCTCCTCAACATATGTGTACGTATGCATACCTTATGTATGTATGTATATAATTATTACGCAAATATCAATAATAAAAATATTAAACACTTATAAACAATCAAATTATATTAATTATAAATTATATATATGAAATATTATTTTTTTTGTATTTTAATTATTTATTTAGAAAACATTATATAAATATAAGATATAATTATTAAAAAGAATTTGTATAATTGCAGTTTCACCACTTGATACCATTCATCCTCATTTCGAGGACGAATATACGCGAATTAATTCCAGTAGTACATCAGGTATGAATCTTTTGAATTGTTAAATATAATTTTTTTTATAGTAGATTATTTAAATTTTTTGTTTTTATAGATGCAGAATCAGATAATAATAGTATTGACGTTTCCACTACTAAACGATCGCCGGGTAGACCAAGAATATTAAAACCAAAAAAAAATTGTAAGTATTGTATGAAATATTTTTTAATTTAATAATATTAATATATGTAATGATATTTATATAGCTACCAGCCAAGGAAAGCTTTGGGAATTCATTAGAGACTTGTTACGTAATCGCGAAACATGTCCAAGTTTAATCTGTTGGGAAGATTATTCTCAGGCAAAATTTCGATTCGTTAAAAGCGACGAAGTCGCAAAACGATGGGGTTCAAGAAAGGGAAATACAAAAATGACATATGAAAAATTGAGCCGAGCAATGAGGTAATTTTTTAAATATTTATGTAACATTTAATTTAATAATAAAAAACATGAGATTTTCATATAAAAAATTTTTTCAGGTATTATTATAAAAGTAAAATCTTTCAACCCGTACTTGGTAAAAGATTAGTTTATCAATTTGGACCAAATGCAAAAGGTTGGCAAACTGACAATCCGAACTTTCGGCGTTAAAAATTTAGGATTTCATTTTTTGTAAAAAATGTACAAAAAGTAAGAGTAATTTTTATGTTCTATTATGAATATTGTACACAAGATATGTTATAAAATTTAAAAAAAAAAATAATTCTTTTTGTATAGATCTGTAAATGTATTTTTGATACCAGATAAGAAATTGAAGTATTTTGATAGTGAAATGAAGTGATTTAAAATGAAGCGTTTAAAATATCGATAATTATAAAAGACTAAGAAAAAATGGATCTAGTATTATAGATAATATACACTGATTAGATTTAAATAATCTAAAGAAAGGTATGAATGAATAAAAATGTCGAGATTTTTCACATTTTTATACGTATGATTGATTATGAAAATACGTGATAGGCGAAATGTGAGTACGAATTAATTTAGTCTCATAAGATTGTTTTTCAATTTATTTGATTTTAAGCATATATCATAATAGTTTATTTTACATAAAAAGTATACATATTATAATCAAGAAAGGCAATAATTCTTTGACTTATGATCAAATAAATTTATGATTACTTATTTTTATATATCACAGAGTTGTGTATTACATACCTTAATCTGGAAGCATAAGTACTTTTTAAATTGGACCTGGATTATAAATAAGATGCAGGCCAATTTCAAAAAAAGGAAATTAAATTATGAATTCTTAAGCAATAGATCATCATTAAATTTTTTTTCCTAAAATAATTTTAAAGGAATCCCAGAAAAAGTAATTATATTATTTTCTTTATGAATTATGAATTCAGATAAAAAAACGAATTTCAATTTATATTAATTAATTTTTTAGTTTCGTTAATGATTAATTATTAGGTGTGGATACTTATTCTATAGCACATGCAAGAAAGCTGGCAAATATATTTATATTTTTAAAAAATTCTGGACGATTTGATTAATGATTAATAAATATATAATAATATTAAATATTAAACTTCAAGATATATAATACCGCGACGGAAGAAGATATGCCAGTAACAAGCATGCATTTTTTTTTTTTAATTCTTTAAAATTATTTATATATTATTGGATTATATCTAATTTGAGCGAACTTGAAATCGTTGTTTGTATAATAAATATATGTATAGTAATAAGAACCACGATTGCAGTTATTAACTTGATTATTTTTAAATATATGCATTTAAAGAAATATTACTCAAACGAAATATTTATGCAACCAGGAGGTATATACTTAAATATTTTTGTTACTATTATTTGAAAATTATTTTTATAATTTTAATTGGAAAAGCTGACATATCACTTTTGAAACTACATAAAACGTTAATTTTATAATCAATTATGTATAACGTCAGCAATTATCAAAAAGGCACAAATCGTAAATAATTTCTACTTTAAAGTACGCATTAGCGGCTGTGTTTGATATTCATATTGATATTGATAAGAATGTATTTATGTAAGATAACTTACAGAAACAATCAAATGTGATCTTTGGTTTATATATATATATAAAAAAAATATAATATATAATAATATTAAAAATTCTACAAAGACTTCATATTTATTTTCATTATTGCAGGAATTAAAACTTTTAATATGTATGAAATTATATGATTTCTATAATTTTAAAAGAATTTAAAATATAAATCACAATATCATAAAAAATAGCATATCGAACGATTTTTTCTATTTTTTTAAACTGTGTTCCATCTATTATTACTTTTAACAATAATCGTTAATAGTTTTATAGCAAGCTGGACCCTATGTATTTATTTGTTTCTTTTTGTCTTATTTTTTTTCTTTTGGCACTTATATCTATTAAATGGACTTCAAAATGAATATTGATTACTTATTCTAAATAATAAACTTGACTGATATTCTTAATCTGAATTGTAATCATAAGTCCTCGAATATCTCTAACATGTCTACGACAGATTAATTTACCGCATAAAATTTCTCCTATAAAAAAATTTTTATATTTATTTATATTTATATTATTTATATTATTTATATTATTTATATAATAATTAATAATTTGTAGTTTAATTTTTATTTAATTTACCTTCGGTAATGCTAATAGGTTCGCTCAATGAAAATACTGTTTGTTTCCAATGCGTTGGAGGCGAATAAGGTCCTGTACTAAAATGTACTGGATTATCCAAATCAAAAAAGATATCAAAATAGCCAACAATTGCAGTCAATGATCCAGTCTTTTTTACTTTGAATTCAAAAGGTGACGAAAAATTTACACAATCTTTCGTTACTTTATACAAATCGAATGTTTGAATTTCTACAATGCTAGTTATTAATTCCTCAGCATTACAAATTTCTATGCTTGGTTCGCGTACAACTTCGGCTTTCATGCAACTCATTTTAAAACCATACACATTAGACCAATAATCAATAAGTTCGACGTATCTTCCTATAAAAATTTATGAAAATTCAAAATTTAATTTTTTATTTAAAAAATAATGAATAAAATATACAAATCGAAGATATTATAATTCTATTATGCAAAAAATACATACTTGTATCTCCACTTCCTACAATACTAAGTGTACATTTATTAGGAAGAAGTATTCCACCAGGAGTTAAATAATTATCTCTTGCATATATCACGGTATCTAACATACCCTCAAATAGAAGAAAATATCCCATCCATTCAGATACAATTGCATCTACTTTATCTTCATCAAGATTAATGTCTTCCAATCGACCTTTTTTTATAGTGATAATATCACTTAAATTGTTCTCTCTATATTACATTACAAAGGGTATTGTTAAATTGATATTAAAAATATTATTTTTATAGGTATATTTATATTCTCATATAAATATTTTATTTACCTCACTATATCTATAGCATGGTATATTACATCTGATTGATCAACACTAATTACTTTACGACATCCAGTTTTTGCTGCAAACATAGATAAAATGCCAGTTCCACAACCAACATCTAATATCACACAATTATTAAATCTATTCGCATTTGTTAATAATGCATCTCTATAACTTTCTGTTCGTACTTTGTCCTATAAAAAAATTATAGTTATTATTAAAAAAAATTGTACATATTATGTACATATATTAAAAAAATAAAATCGATATACTTACTGTTAACATCTCATGATGTATAGCAAAATGACTATATGTATTAAAATAACCTTTATCAATATTACAATTAGAATTTCCAGAAGAACTAAAAGTATTTTCATCTAAATCACTATCTAGGACCAATTTCTGTGCTTTCTCTGTCATTTCATCTATTTGCTAGAATTATATATGATTTTATAACTATTATATTTAATATAAAATATCAAATTTTATTATAAATACCTGTTTTGCTAAAAAACATGCTAATTCACGTTGTTCTAATTGTGCTCTAAGTGTTTGTATTGTTCTTTGTAATTCAGCAAAATGTGCTTCAGATAATGTAACACAACCATTCTCTGAATTTACTGTATATGCAATAGGTTTTGTTGTTTTTTCCTCCATATCTTCAATATCTTTATATATAATAAAATTTATATATAATATAAATAGTAAAATTTATATATAAAAATAATAAAAAAATTATTAATTTATAAAAATTATTTTTATTGAATTTATTTATATTTTTACCAAACATTAACCAAGGATCATCTTCTATAACAGGTCTTAAATATTCTTCGCTTTCCCATGTTTTTATGTTTAATGCATTTAATTGGTCAGACAAAACATTTTTATGTCTAATAAAATTAATTAATTTAATATATGAATAAGTATCTAATGAATGTTTAATTATGAAGTTTTTTAAGTCAAATCTATGTGAAGCTACAAGATGTTCTAATGCCATAGAAAAATTATTATATATTTCATTACAAAAAAGGCACGGTATAGATTCAAAATCTTCTGTTATTTCATCCCAATCATCACCACTATCATCATCAGTTGTTTCATCCATTTCACAATTATAATCACATTTTGAAGAAATGGCTAAAGAATGAAAAATATTAAAAGAAATTAATTTTATAAAATATTTTTTGTATTAAATATTAAATGTTAATAAAAATTTATAATATAATATCAATAATATTAATAAATAGATTTATTTTATTATTTATAAAATTATTGAATAAATTTTAAAATATTTATGTAATTTTATAATTTATTTTTAAATTAAATAAATATATAAAATAAAAATTTAATATAATACAATATATGACTGATAATTATAAATATTTATTTATTTTATGTCATATATATTAACAAATATAAATTAAAAAATATTATTTCTTATTACCTTGATCAGTCATTTTGCAATTAATACACAAAATAGTATGCAACAATTATTCGTGTAGAAATAAGATTGTTTCAAATTTTCAAGGTTAGAGATTCCATTCATCCATACACGTGTCGAGGTAAGCAAAACTTCTGACTTAATGTCAAATCCATATTCTTTATATCGTATCACGTCTTAGCCAATAAAAACTTTTTGGAATAAGTGATCCTCTTTAAATTGTAATTTAATATTTATTGATTTCGTCTAATAATAAATGCTCTTGACCTTTTTTTTTTATTTTCTTGGTAAATCTTATAAAGAATTTGGAATATCTTTCTTATTATGTTACGAAATTTATATATATATATATATATATATTACAATATAAATTCTGTTATTTTCAAAATAAAATGATTCTTATAAATTTATAAAAGTTTTCAAACAAATTATAATTTTTAAAAAGCTAAATATAATAATTTAAATAGAATTATTAATTTTATATAATTTTTTTAATAAAACAATTATTTCAAAAATTTTCAAAATTGTTTCAGATGCAACAATGTTACATCGGAAATAGATAATAATCAAAAACAAAAAAGATATATTTATAGAACTTATAGACCGGAAATATATAATAATCCGAATATCTTATACATACACATTTTATTTAGATGTATTTGATTTGTTTGATTAAAACAAAATACGATAATGATTTTCTCTGTAGAAATATGGGAACATATATTTACATATATAGATCCTGTATCACTTACACATTTGAAAATAATTTGTAAATGTTGGAAGCAAATTATTGATAAAATGTTAAAGGTAAATAATATATAATAATATAATATATATAACTTTTATTACAGTTTTAATTTATTTATTGAATGTCTAAATGTATATTTGTGTATCTATATATACATTGTTATAAATGTTTAATCTATAATATGCATTAAATATAATTTATTTAATTTTTTAATTATTCTTCTATGTATAGGAAAGTACTTTATGGTATAAATTATGCAAAAATAAAATTCCTGAACATTATTGGACTATTTTATGCGAAACATTAAATCCAAATAAATTTTATACTAATTTTCATGAAAAACATGATGCTAAATTTTGGATGGCTATGTATAAATTGTGGATTAAATGTAAAAATATGATAAAATGTAATACACAAATTACATGTATTGAACCAGATTTAAAAAATCATCCTTTAGAATATATCACTTGTATAGATACATCAGGTAATATGTTGACAATATTAAATTGTTAATTTAATTTTAATTTAAATGTTTAATTTTTATAACTAATATCTTTTAGAAAGTTTTTTAGCAGTAGGAACATCTGAAGGATTTATTTATTTTTATAATATTTGCAATTTAAATGCAAATGTAAAGTATATAATTGATCATATGGAATACATAAAAAGTATACAATTTTGCAGAGATGGTAATTACAAATTTTAAAAAATAAATTTGATAGAAACTTTTAATCAATTGCTTATATTTCATAGAAACAAATATCATTTGTATATCTTGTTCTATAAATAATCATGTAAACTTTTGGGATATGAATACATTGAAGATAATTAATAAAACACATGGAAAGTTAATTTGGTATGATTTAAAGGAAAACTATAATTAATTTGGTATGATTTAAAAGAAAACTATAATTAAAATAATTAATTTAATCATTAATAAATAATAAATATTTAATAGCACAAGTTACAGTTATTGCTATACTGCTATGCATAACATAATAAGTATTGAAGGATCAATACCAAAAACAATATTTCAATTTGGTTCAGATAGTATAATTACTATGGGTGCAGATAATAATAAAGTAATAATAATGAAAAAATTATAAAAAAATTATAATTTGTAATTTTATCATTTATATTAAAATGTTACAACTTAGGTACTTTTTTATACGGAAAGAGGATATTATGTAAATTTAAAACTAGATGAAAAAAATCTAGAAAAAAAAAATTATACTCTTACATATATTCAGCCACCAAATATTAGAATTCGTCAATATTATACATTTAAACCAAATATAATTGCCTGTATTACAGGTAAGAAATCAATTATATTAAATAGATATAATTATATAAAATTAATAAAATATTTTAATAATGTAAAAATTATAGAATATGGATATTTGGGTTTTCTAATAGAAGGAAAAGAATGGAAAATTCACAATCTATTTCCTATTTTACATGGTGAACCTACAGCAATTTTAGTATATGGTCATATACTTATTTTAGGATTAAATTCA